AAAAAAAAAAATATATATATATATATATATTTTTTTTTTTTTTAAAGAAAGAAAGAAAGCAGGCCATGGAATGTTTTTAGCTAAGTCAGCATGGAATCAGATTCCTATTTTACCATTTGGAAATCTGGGGCATGTTACCAATGACTCCTGCCGGCAAAAAAAAAATACTCAGTCTGCAGTATAAGGCTGGGGTTTTCAACCCAGAGGGACCGGAAATAGGGCCACAGTTTGCAAATTCATCCGTAAGGAGACCTGTCACAAGCCATTCTGAGGGTGGGTGCGAAGGTCACTGTAAAAGTTCAAGGCCACGCCCCACTCTGTCTGACCTTGAGAGCATTGGCTGAGATATTTTTTATCTCAAACATTATTCTGCATTTTACTGGGTGTTAGCCTTCCCGTTCTTTTTAAAAAATCAGCCGGACAGGAAGTTCAAACGAAGCCAAGTTATTTTTGAAAAGAGCAATCTCTACATAGAATGTATACTTTTCAGTCTAGGTAAGTGGTTCCCAATAGAAAAAAAAAAAATGAGCACTTGTTTACTGGAAATGAAGAAATTCATTTATTAAATATATTTGTATTGATGTCAGAGACAAAGGGAGAGGGAGAGAGAGAGAAAGAAACATCCATGATGAGACAAAGTCATGGATCGGCTGCCTCCTGCATGCCCCACATTGGGGATGGAGCCTGCAACCCGTGCATGTGCCCTGACCCGGAATCGAACCGTGACCTCCTGGTTCCTAGGCCGATGCTCAACCCCTGAGCCACGCCAACTGGGTTCATTTCGTTTTAAAGTCATGTTCCTTGCTAGCATTTAAAAAAAAAATTATTATTTTGGGTCCACATTTTCTTAGGCAGTGTCCACAATAGTCATGATCAAGATGCACCAAAAGAAAAAGAAAATGTAAAGCAGATAATGATGGTTTGGGAAGCCAGCCTGAGACTATGATTATTATGCACTTAATCAAGGTCCCTGCCCATTCATTAGTGATTCTGCACTTCCCTTGTAGGTCATCATTAGAGCGAGTCCTTGGAGGCCGGATGAATGAAACTTTATTTGAATTATATGTCCCGGGCAGTCACGACGCTGGACTGGAGACGGCAAGTCCAAAGTTAGTGAGAGTCTTGTGCTGATTGCTCCCTGTGCGTCTGTATCTTCATTTTCTGATTGCCTGAGTGAGTAATTGATGGAAATAGCTCTAAGCAAGGCTGGCATTGGATGGATCTTCTCCCGTTGGTTGGCTGAGGGCGTGCTTCTGCCCATCCGTGATGTGATCGCAGATCACCCCTGGAGATCGCCTTCCTTGACTTGGGGCTGCACGGAGTCCCTGTGCCTGCTGGCTCCCTTGTTCCTCTCCTACCTGCTCTCCTGTCCTTGACTCTGGACTCCACCTGCTGGGCTCGGGGCATGGCGGGGGTGGGTGGTGGGTGGAGTGGTCCCTCAGGCTGGCCTGTGCCCTCTTGCAACCCAGGAACCCTTGGGGGATGTCCAACTGCCGGTTTAGGCTCTGTGGGGATCAGGCCTACACAGACAGTTGGACATCCCTCTCGCAATCTGAGACTGCTCACCCCTGCCTGCTCGCCTGCCCCTAACCTCTCGCCTGCCTGCCTGCCTGATCAGTGTGCTTCAAAGCAATCAGTGGTTCCAGTCATTCTGGACGTTTCTCCTTAACGGTCCCTTAGGCTTTTATATATATAGGTTTCAGAGAGGAAGGGAGAGGGAGAGAGAGAAACATCAGTGATGAGAGAGAATCATGGATCCCTGTTGCATAAGAGCTGGTCATTATTCCTAATATTCTGGCCCGAGCAATCCCTTCAGTTTCATCTCACACTTAGGAGAACGGGATTGAAGAAGACAACTCCATTACACAACGTACGGAAAAGCATTCCTGATTATGGGACATATTAAGTAATTACTCCTTTTGAGTTATTGGAAAGAAAGACCCCTTTTCTGTCAGGGCAACTCCTTTATTAAACACACACACACACACACACACACACACACACACACACACCTGAATCCCTACCAGCCGCCTGCAGGAAAGCCCACAGGTAGTTAAGTGGGTTGGGACCGAGTCACTAGCACCTGCTACTATAAATGGGGCTGTGCTCCCCATCATGATGATTACAGGGCGGGGGAAATGCAAAGGTAGTAACAAAAACGCTTTGCATTCACAATAAAAGACATGCACTTCCTCAGCGCCATGAACACTGCACATGTGCTTCCTTATAACATGCACCACCCGTCTGCCATTGGAACCATGGGCCATTCACTCCCTGCTAGGTCTAGACCTGTTTGTTTATATCTCTGTTGTTTTTCTTAATTATATTATTGATTTTTTTACAGAGAGGAAGGGAGAGAGATAGTTAGAAACATCGATGAGAGAGAGTCATCGATCAGCTGCCTCTTGCACACCCCCTACTGGGGACGCCCTTGACGGGAATGGAACCTGGGACCTTTCAGTCCGCAGGCCGACGCTCTATCCACTGAGCCAAACAGGTTTCGGCTATATATATATTTTATTGATTTTTTACAGAGAGAGAGAGAGAGAGAGAGAGAGGGATAGAGAGTTAGAAACATCGATCAGCTGCCTCCTGCACATCCCCCACTGGGGATGTGCCCGCAACCAAAGTACATGGCCTTGACCGGAATCGAACCTGGGACCTTTTAGTCCACAGGCCAACGCTCTATCCACTGAGCCAAACCAGTTTTGTTTGTTTGTTTGTTTGTTTGTTTCTTTTCTTTTTTTTAAGCATTTTTATTGATTTCAGTTCATGTGAAACCTGGTATTTTTATTGCGACATTCTTAAAAAAAAATAAGTAAATGAAAGCAAAGGGCTTAAGGACGCTAGGTGGAGGCGGAGGAGGCAGCCAGGGCGACGAGGCCTGACGCTGGAGTTCTGTGTCTGTAACGTTTCGCTTTCTGTAGCGTCTGACGGTTGAGAAAGGCTGTTTGTCATTGCTGCCTTGCGGTCGGGCTGTGAAGACAACAGAACAGGAACTGCCCAGCGGCCGAGTTAGAAGGGAAAAGCTTTGATCGTGGGCTCGCTTTCTACTCCCATTCACGCCTTAGTCAGCTTTATAGGTGTGGTTGCTGTTCCTCCTCAGGCTCTCTGTCTTCTTTCCTTTGTTCTATTTTTAAAAACATATATTTTATTGATTTTTTTTTTTACAGAGAGAGGGACAGAGCCAGAAACATCGATGAGAGAGAATCATCGATCAGCTGCCTCCTGCACACCCCCCAATGGGGATGTGTCTGCAACCAAGGCACATGCCCTTGACCGGAATCGAACCCGGGACCCTTCAGTCCGCAGGCCGACGCTCTATCCACTGAGCCACACCGGTTTCGGCCCTTTATTCTTAAAAAAAAAAACAAAAATATATATATATAAATATATAAATATATATATATATACACACACACACACACACACACACACACACACACGTATATTGATTTCACAGAGGAAGGACATCCAGAAATATCCATGAGAGAGAATTGTGGAGCAGCTGCCTCCTGTACGCCCCACACTGGGGACCGAGCCCACACCCCTGGCGTGGGCCCTGACCGGGAATCGAACCCGGGACCTCTTGGTCCATGGGGTGGCCCTCAGTCCTTTGAGCTACACCAGCTGGGTTCTTTCCTTTATTTCCCAGGTCACCTTTCAGGCCGGGAGATGCAGGCTTTCCTGAAGCAGTGGAAAAAGCCGGGCGTGTCCTAGGCCTCAGGTTGCTCTGAGCCTCCTGCTAAGGTGATTCAGGTTACTCCTTGCTCCTGGGAAACCAGGGATGCTATGAACTGCCTCCCTCATGGCTGAAAATCAGACGTGACCGTGCCATATGCCACGTGCACATGCAGCCCCGTTCCAGGAGTTGCCTGGCTGGGTACCTCTTGCCAGGGTCGTGGTGGTAAAAAAAAACAAAACAAAAAAAAACAGAGCCTGCTAGCCCTAGCCAGTGTGGTTCAGTGGATAGAGCATCGGCCTGCGGACTGAAGGGTCCCATGTTCGATTCCGGTCAAGGGCATGGACCTTGGTTGCGGGCACATCCCTGGTAGGGGGTGTGCAGGAGACAGCCATTCAGTGATTCCCTCTCATCATTGATCCCTCTCTCCCTCTCCCTTCCTCTCTGAAATCAATTATCTATCTATCTATCTATCTATCTATCTATCTATCTATAGATATATTAGATATCTAGATAGGTAGATAGCAGCCTCCTTTTTTAATCTATCTATAGATATATTAGATGTATTAGATATCTATATAGATAGATATAGATATCTAATACATCTAATATATCTATAGATATATCTATCTATATAGATATCTAATACATCTAATATATCTATAGATAGATTAGCAGCCTCCTTTATAATCTATCTATAGATATATTAGGTATATTAGATATATTAGCTATCTATATCTATCAATATATTCTATCTATAGATATATTAGATATATTAGATATCTGTATCTATCTACCTACATAGATGTCTAATATATCTATAGATAGATTAAAACGGAGCCTGCTATGTCACCAGGGACCCTCCAGGGCCCTTCTGGAGCAAGCACCTAGATTAGGATCAGAGGAGGCAAACTCCTAAGCGACTTCAAGCCTGCAAACCGCACCTGCCCCCTCGCCCGCCTTTGAACTACAGCGCCAGGGAACTGCAGTCCCCTGTCTGGGCCCTTCCCTTCGGGCACACCTTCCTTCCCCAGGAGCCAGCCCAGGCTGCGGGGCTGCCATCACCCTCCCCCCTGCGCCCCAGGAGCGCCCCAACCCAGCCTGGCGCATCCTGCAGCCGCTGGAGCTGGAGCGAAGGTGACGCGGCGCCTCCTCCCCGGAGGCGGGGCTGCCCGCGGGGCCCGGAGAAGCGGGGCGGCCCCGGCGGTGCCCCCGCCCCGCCGCGTCCGGACCTGGGAGGCCACGGCGGCGCAGGCCCCGGGCACGCGAGGGGCGCACGGAGCCCCCGGTGCAGCCGGGACGCGGCCCGGACCCCGATCCCGGACCCGGACCCGGACAGGTGAGGGCGGGGTGGGGCGCGGCTCACCTGGGCACGGGGTCCCCCCAGCTCCCTCCTGCGGGCTGGCCGCCCCTCTCCGCCCCAGGGGGGGGCGCGGGGACCGGGCAGGGGCTCGGGGATCCCCCGCCGGGGAGTTGCAGGCTCCGGCCGGGCGGTGCGGAGCGCGGGTGGCGGGGACCCGGGCGCGGGTGCCCGGAGCGCACGCGGCGGGCAGCGGGCACCTGCCCTGCGCTGGAGGGGACACATCGGGGCTCCGGCGGCTGCGGGGGAGCCATCGCCACCTCCACCTCCACCTGCACCTGCACCGAGGGGACCCTCCAGAGGTCAGCCCCGCGCTTGGGTGGGGGGGTATCCGATGCGGGGATGCCACTCCGGTCTCCCCCTCCCACCCCCCCAGACCTTGGCTCAGCGCCTCCAGAGCAGAAAGCCTTGCCTTTGGGGACTCCAAAGATTAGTCACATTAGTAAGAGAAAATGGGCCAAAATCGGTGAGGCTCAGTGGATAGAGCGTCGGCTTGAGGACTGAAGGGTCCCGGGTTCGATTCCGGTCAAGGGCATGGACCTTGGTTGGGGGCACATCCCCAGTGGGGGGGGCGTGCAAGAAGCAGTTGGTCAATGTTTCTAACTCTCTATCCCTCTCTCTTCCTCTCTGTAAAAAAAATCAATAAAAAATATTTAAAAAAATAAATAAAGAAAAGAGAAAGGGGGAAAAAAAAGAAGCGATGGTGGTTAAGCTGAGGCAATTGCTTCCGCAGTGAGTGCCCAGGCAGACTGGCTATTTGTTAGGCAAATAGCGCGCGGGTGGCTTGTGCAAAGGGTATTTCTCCAAAGCGGGTTGGAACCTGCGAGCCAGGTGTGAGGGTTCCAGCTGCGGCCAGATGCTTCCCTGATTGCTCTCGGAGGTGACCTCTGCGGAGAGAGGGCAGGTCCAGGGGCCGGACAGCTCAGAGGACCTGCCTCGGGGGCATCCGGAGTCGCCTACAGGGCCGGGGAGTGTGGTTTCCACTTGCGTGCATTTCCCACCTGGGCCAGCAGCCTTTCCATTGAACAAATATTTGTTGTGCGTGTGTTGGGGGGCAGGGGGAGGAGGGGGGGCCTCTGAGCCAGCCAGGAGGATGTTGACACAAAGGGGTGGGTCAGGGCACTCCTTCCGCACAGGTGGAGGTGAAGAGAGACCTAGGAAGGGCTCGCTGAGCCTCTGCTTCTTGGACGTTGCAAGAATCGAAGGTCATAAGTCTTGAGAGGCAGGGAGAAGTACAGCTAAGAAGGTCATGGTCAGGCCTGGCATTCAAAGGGACAGGGAGGATCCAAACCACCCTCACATAAGGTTTAAAGTAGGGGTGTCGAACTCAATCAGAGAAGGGGCCAAAATCTAAAATCCAGCCTAAATCGCGGGCCGAATGGTTTACTGAACAGTCATAAACTGTCATTGTGATGGAAACGCAGCGGAGTGCAGTGATGACAGCGCGGTGCGGGCCACATTGCAAGGCCTGGCGGGACGGATTTGGCCCGCGGGCCTTGTGTTTGACACATGTGGTTTAAAGCATCGACCCTCTTTGCCCAGGGCCCAAATGAGGCCCTTTATTTCTGTTGCATGAAATAGGCAAGGTAGGTATTATTATTATTATTATTTTTAATATATTTTATTGATTTTTTTACAGAGAGGAAGAGAGAGGGATAGAGTTAGAAACATTGACCAGAGAGAATCATCGATCAGCTGCCTCCTGCACACCCCCTACTGGGGATGTGCCCAAAACCAAGGTACATGCCCTTGACCGGAATCGAACCTGGGACCTTTCAGTCCGCAGGCTGACGCTCTATCCACTGAGCCAAACCAGTTTCGGCAAGGTAGATATTCTCACTCTCCCTGTACAGAAGGGAAACCGAGGCAGGAAAGAGGCAGGCCCTTGGTCCCGGGTAACTGGCAGACCTGGGCATGGACTGTGGGTATTTCTGATTGTGGGACCCGTGCCTCTTCTCTGTGCCATGCTGCTTTGGATGGCACATCTGGCAGATGGCATGGCAGGGAGAATTTACATTTACCTTCGCCACCTGTCCACACGCTGGGAGTTAAAGTTTAACTTCATGAATAAAATGAGCACTTTTTAAATTTTTATTCTATTCCTGAAGTGAAAGCATCACCAGTCTGGGGCAAGAAGGATAGCTGTTTTTAATCAGAAGATGTATTCTGTGTCTTCCTTCACCTGTTTTCAAGGCCCTCACATATGTATTCCTTGTGTATCATGCATTGAAGTCACAGTGGATTTTCATATTATCCGTGTGCTTGATCTGATTCAGCCTGACTTATATCATATCTGTAAATTTGCACTGTGTAGATGCTCTATATAAATCAACTTGATTTTACATCATGTATATTTATATATAACTAACATAAACATATACAAGTTATAAGTTTATATATACAAGTTATAAGTTTAGGTAAGTTATATAAATCAGCTTGACTTTACATAATTCACCTTGATTTTTTTCCATAGCTTCCGGGTGAATAGAGGAAAGAACATTTGGGTTTGCGTAAAAATCTAGAATCAGATATTGATAACGACAGCTAATACGAAAGGATGTAGCCATTTTCCATTAAATCTATCTCTGGAAAGCTAGACTGCTAAACTTACTTGGAAAGAAATCCTAAGATCCCTGATTTAGTCTGTAACAACCCACAATTTCTTTACGTGCATGTACACCCCAAAAGCGATTTTCCAGCTGAAAGGGCTGTATTGTATGGGATGAATATGAAAATAGGGCTTAGCATTTTAATATCTCCTGCTTCTTAGACCCTTCCATATCATCATCGCTGATAAAATTTGAGGGATTTTACATTTAAACTAGAGGCCCAATGCTCAAAATGTTTATAATGGGGTTTGGCAGGTGGTTCTGCTGATGGTCTAATTAGCATATTAGCTCTTAATTTTATAGGATTAGCAGCAGGAGTTGAAGAAAGTGGTTCTTGTCCAAGCAAATTTTTATGCCTGTGTTGGGAGAATCAGACAAGGCTGTCCTGCCTGGATCTTGCTTTTGGCCGTGACCTTGATAACACACCTTGAACTCTCCTTTAGAAGCTTTTGAAATCCTGCCTGGAAGGAAGGTGTTTATAAAGGTGTGATTGGGCCCTAGCTGGTGTGGCTCGGTGGATACAGTGTCAGCCTGCAGAATGAAGGGTCCTGGGTTCCATTCCCAATGGGGGGTGTGCAAGAGGCAGCCGATCCATGATTCTCTGTCAGCACTGATGTTTCTCTCTCTCTCTCCCTTCCTCTCTGAAGTCAATTAAAAAAATATATATATATAATATATGGTAGGAAAGAAAAAAAGGTATGCTGGCTTGGTTAAGATGCTGTCATTGCCGAAACCGGTTTGGCTCAGTTAATAGAGCGTCGGCCTGCGGACTGAAAGGTCCCAGGTTCGATTCCCGTCAAGGGCATGTACCTTGGTTGCGGGCGCATCCCCAGTAGGAGGTGTGCAGGAGGCAGCTGATCGATGATTCTCTCTCATCCACGTTTCTAGCTCTCTACCCCTCTCTCTCCCTCTCTGTGAAAAATCAATTTAAAAAAAAGATGCTGTCATTGGAGGGCAGGGTGAGTGACGAACTGGAGAAAACTCAACAAGCCACAGAGGAGGGGTGTGAACCGGATGGGCCCGGGTTTTGGGAGCCCTCAGTGGCAGACACCCGAAACTAATACGAAATAACCTTGAGTGGAAACTGGAATGGAAGGGGAAAAAAAAATGCGTTTAAGGTAAATCACACATTTAAGGCTTTCATCCTCTCCTGGGAAAAAACACTACAAAATTAGTGATGACCGGGAATCCTCTGCAGAAAGAGAAAGAGATGACAGATCGCGGGAGGGCTCCGTCTGTGAGATCTTTGTGGGCGATTTACTAGAAATGCTTACCAAGAGGGCTTCCTGACTGCAGCTGCGCTTCCCCTGCCCCCAAGGCTCTTGGCCTGGGTAGGGGTGGGGGTGGGGGTGGGGAGTGGGCCCAGCCTGTGCCTAGGAGAAGCTGGAAGCCAGGCTCCACCCCCTTGCAAGAGTGACAGGTGCCTGGAGGCAGAGGACTCAGGGCCCATTGCTCACAGAGGGGACTGCTAGCTGGGGCGGAGGGACATGGGCCCTGGGGCACTTCCTGTCCAGCCAGCAGTTCTGAGACAAGGCCCCCGGGCTGGTCCCCAGGTGGCTGGCTCTCCAGGGGTGCCTTGGGCTCCCCGTCACCTTTGGTGGAGGGTCCCCTGTGTCCCAGGCACTGAGTCCCCCGAGTCCCCATTGCCTGGTCTCACGGAGCTGCTTTATTTTATTATTTTATTTTATTATTATTATTTTTAATATATATCTTATTAATTTTTTTAATATATGTTATTAATTTTTTCTGGTCTCACGGAGCTGCTTTATTTTATTTTATTATTATTATTTTAAATATATTATTGATTTTTTTAAATATAGATTTATTTTATTGATTTTTTTTACAGAGAGGAAGGGAGAGGGATAGAGAGTTAGAAACATCGATCAGCTGCCTCCCGCACACCCCCCCACCGGGGATGTGCCCGCAACCAAGGTACATGCCCTTGACCGGAATCGAACCCGGGACCCTTCAGCCCGCAGGCCGACGCTCTACCCATTGAGCCACACCGGTTCCGGCTTATTTTATTATTTTATTTATTTATTTTTATTTATTTTTATTTATTTCAGAGAGGGAAGGAGAGGGGGAGAGAAAAACATCCATGATGAGAGAGAATCATGGATCGGCTGCCTCCTGCACGCCCCCCCTACTGGGGATGGAGCCCGCAATAAGGGCATATGCCCTGAGCGGGAATCGAACCCTGACCTCCAGGATCATAGCTCAAGGCTCAACCACTGAGCCACACTGGCCGGGCTCACAGAGCTGGTTGCCCTGAGCACCGTGCAGTGTTTGGAGAGCCCCCGGGTGTGTGAAGGGCCCTGGGCATTGGAGCTACCCCTACCCCGACCACGGGTGCAGTGAGGCCCTCCTTGT